CTTTCCTTTCTTCAAGACTACCCAACTGTCACCTTCTCAATGAGACTTCGAATTTCCACACTGGCCCCATCACTTCCGTTCCATGTTCTCCTGGCTTCCTCTTTTTTTTTTTTTTCAAAGCGCTTCTGAGCAGGATGTATATTTTACCCAGTATCTTCCTTGTTTACTGTCTGTGCCCCACTGCCACCTTTTAGCCTGTGAGCCAAGACAGCATGGAGTTCATTGACAGTATCTCAAGATCAAAAAACTGTCTGACAAATAAGTACATCCTATTTCATCTCTTTCTTTTCACATGCTCTTCCCTTTGTTTAAAAATAACCTAATTCATCCTACTCACCCTCATCTACAATCTCACTGACACTTTTTTTACCCCAAACATTTATTGCTTACTTATTAGTCCCCCCTCCTTGTTGGATCAGGGGATATATCTTAGGTTGTCTTATCCTGCCTCTTCTCTAATACAGATCCCCCAAAATAAAAGGCACTTTATAAATGTTTGTTGAACTCAACTAGCCTGAATGATGTTGTATTCCAATAAAAATAGGTGGAAAACATTGCCTAGTTGGTCTTTCCTCCAGAGAGCTCATGGATAGTCATCCAGCAACCTACACACACATCAGATACAAACTCTGACCAGTTACTCAGAAGAGCTAATTTCTTAGCCAAAGATTATCTTTTTTGTGCAAATCCCTTTTCTTAAAATGAGACACACTGTCATTTGAATAACTAGTTGAGTCAGAAAATAATTTTTTCAAACTATTTTGCTAAAGATATTAGAAAATACAATTTGGTGATGAATAGCTGGTCTCGGACCAGATGGTTAGTGAATCCTGAAAAACTGAGGATGCTTTTTGACTAAAACTAAATAAGGGGAAAGTAGAATCATTATTACTTGGCTACTAACTTAATATGCAAGACATTGTGTCAACAATTTTTCATTTTATCCTCACAACAAACTTGTGAGATATATTATTATCTATGTTTTACAAAATAAGTAAGGTGAGGCTCACAGAATTGAATAACTTGTCCCGTGTCACATAGCAAGTAAGTGATCCAAATCCCTTATGGCCACAAATCCCAAGCCCTTCACCTAGCAACATGCTGCCTCTCCTCCTGCTCTGTGGTTGATTTATTTTTAGAATTGTCTTCCTACACAGTATATTATTCACTTACACATCTATTTTGTTACCTTTTCATTTTCAGTATTGGTTCTTTTATGACCCCAACCACAATCTGGAATGTTTTCTACAACTTACTCTTTTGTTTAATGTTCAGATTCTATGTAAGCATGGAACCTAATAAAATTTAGTGCAGATGCATGAATACCACAAGGTGTCCCACAGATGTCAATCAAGTCCCCAGGCCACTTTGAAGTGATGTTTTTTTCCATGAGCTACCTGAAAAGTCCCACTCACACTTTTCAGTGTGGGTTGATTGGTTGGCCCAGGGCATTGATTATGAAGGACAAGTCAACAATTCTAGATCTAAAGTTATGCATTTCTTGCACAGTGATTTCTAATTTTTTAAAGCAAAAACCAAACCAAAATAAAATAAATTCAAAAGGAAAACAAAAAACAAGAGAGTAGGCATCTAGGGAAGGTGGCAAGGTGTGTTAGTATTTCATTGTTAGACAAAATTAAAAATGCAACTTAGAAGAGGAAGGATTTATTTTGGCTCACAGTTTCAGAGGTTGCAGTCCAAAGTCTGCCAGTGCCATTGCTTTTAGGCCTGTGGCCAGGGGGAATATCATGGTGCAGGAGTGTGGTGAAGGAAAGCTGCTCAATTCACAACAGCCAGGAGGCAACAGGGAGAGGGAAGAACCAAAGAGAAAGGGGCCAGGGATCAGATGGTCCCAAACTTTATGTCCACATGACCCACATCCTTCAAATAAGCTCCACATGCTGTTTCCTTCACCTCCCAATAATGAAATCCAATTATGATCTCATGAATTGATTAATCCACTTGATGAAATTAGAGTGGTCCTCAGTATCCAGTTACTTTCCTCAAAGCCCAGCAGACAGCAACCAAGCCTCTATCACAAAAGGAACATTTCAAATCCAAGCCATAACAGAGGGGCAAAGCAACATGTAACCATTCTATTGTCAACAGCCAGAGCTTGCTACACCTTCCCTCAGGACTGAACAATGAACACTGTAGTTAAAAGCAAAAAAAGAACATCTTCTATCATCATACAAGGAGGATGTAATGGAACAGCAAACTTGACAAAAAACTCTGAAGTCTGTTCCACAGGAAAAAGACTGCGTGCTGTTCTATTAACAGCCATCTTCGTCCTGACAGATGAGAGGAAAGGCAGAGAAATGAAGGACTGGCAGGGAGTAAGAGACCATATTCAAAGAATGATTACTGGATCCATTGACTTAATTTCAACCAGGAAAAGCGTCAGTAAAGATGTTTAGTAATCTAGAAGTGTGGCTGGGTAGGAACATAAAAATGACAATCATATAACAGCCCCTAAGGTCAAAAGTGAAAAATGTATGCTCTGGCAAAGGCTGAAGATAGTCCCAGAAGTTTCATCTCCAGACACTCCAAAGACAAGTGTGAGCAGAGTACCATCTGTAACAAGGGCATGAATCAGTCTGTTGATGTACTGGACAGTGTGGATGGTCTCTAGTTTGACACCCTGTCATTTGTCTCTGTCACTAGTGAACTTTGGAATAAAATGTTATCAATTTTACTGCTGAAAGAGGCCTTGGAGGTTTATCTAATCCAGCCCCTCATTTTACTGATGAAGCTTCTCAGATATAGATGGATATAGGAAATTCAAATTTTCAACTTTCATAAGAATGTGAAGTGTAAGTACAGAAAACATATTCTGAATTGTTCAGGGTAGTACTGAATTTGCACCACCTGGTTGTGCCCGTGAATATACCTGTACTTGTCAGAACATGTGTTCCTATATGGGATCTGGAAAAAATGATTACCTTATGGTTCAGAAAATAATGTTCAGAAAACCCAGTTTGGCTTTCCCGTCCTTTGTGGAGGTATACAAGTTGGTGAAGGAAAAGAGAATAGAAACATGTTCTACTCTTTTTCCTTCCTCATGGCTAAACTTTCATGGATATACATAGTTTGAAGGAGAAACAGCATCTGCAAGTCTCACAAGCCATTGATAAAAGGAAAAATAGGAAGGAAAACAGGAAAGAAGGTAAAGAAGTACATGACATGGAATACAGTAAATTAGAATTTAACAAGTCACACAGAATCTTCATGAATATTAGAGCTTAAGAATGCTCTTTGAGGGGCCAGGATTTAGCTCAGTAGTTTCGCCGCCTGCTGCGCAAGCGGAAGGATCCGAGCTTGATCCACGGTACAGAAAGAAAAACAAGAATGCTCTTTGAAAAACTGATCTAACACGAGGTCCATGTGGCTAAACTACTGGAAGTGTGGTAGGGGGACTGAGTGTAAGAGATGCTAGAAGAAAGAGGAGCAGGCAGGGAAGGAGACTACTAGCCAGGAAGAAGAATGTGTGGAGGGAGGTGCAGAGCAGTCTCCTTCCTCCTAAATCTGGCCACTTCTACTCCAAAACAGGAGAGAGCTTCTCAGAGTGTTCCCTGACCAGAGACCCAGTCAGGTTAATAAAGCATGAGATGAAAAACATGGTAAGGAGACCTCAGGAGCGCTTTGTGTGAGGAAGTAAAATCTACAATAACTTCAGAAACCTTCCCTTTAAAGACAGCAGAATAGTGAGCCTTTGTATTAGGCTCTTTGTTGATACTAAAAATAAAAACACAACTAAACTGCCTGCCTGTTGCCTTTCTCCTTCCTTATTTCTCCTTTCCTTAGTACAGCACTCACTATGCAAACATCCGGGATCCTAAAAGGATATTAAATATTGGTTTGATGGAGTCTTAAATTCCAGAAATGTTTACAAAGGGTGGCTGAGAAACTCCTAAATCTAAAAGCATTGTAAGTTTAGTATTCCTCCCTTAAAATATCTAAACACTTCTAAGCTAAATAACTAAACATGACTTGATCCTAAAATTCAAGCAGTGATTTAGTGAAGTTTTCTAATCTTATTGGCAATTTTTTAAAAAATCCTAAACACCATAAAGATAAAAAGTTGATGCTATTTAAGGAAAATTGTGCTTCTATTATCCTTACCTTTGTTTCCTATGCCACAATAAAGAAAAGTATGTTAATAAACCCCATTCAGATAAGACACTTCTTCAGTACTTAAACTTTGAGCCCTGCAAGACTGTTCATTCACTGAGCTGTTAACTGTGTCACCTGCATCCACCTTTCTCTTTCTTTCTTTCTTTTTTTTTTTTTAGTGAATGTTACCTCCATTTTACAGAAAACTGTGACAACTGTTCCTCTGGAACACCTGTGACATCAAAAAAGGAATTGAAAAGAGCCTGAAGCTTGAGAGTTAACAAATTTGACTTCATACTTTCAGCTGCTGTCTGGGTGTCACTTTTCCGTATTTCCACATTCATTTTGTCAAGACAGCAGCTGAGCACCTGGCATTTTGGTTCCTATTTCTATTATATTTCTCTGTCCCATTAGAGGCTCAGTGTGAGAATAAGGAAAATTTGACTCTTCTGGACGTGTGTGTGTGTGAGTGTATGTGTGTAGATGTTTACTGAGGGATAAATTATAGTGTTTTGTGTATATGTTTCTTCCCAGATAGTTAGGCTATTAGCCACTTGACAAATAACCCCAAGTAATTTTGATACTTATCTCCAAAATCACAGGTGATGCCACAGACCAGGAAATGAATGGATTGCTTTTTCATCAATGAATGAATTAATTAATTAATAAGTTAATCTTCTGTCTGATTGAACCTGTTTGGAGCCCCTGCATAGTACCAAAAGATCCTAGGAGATGGTGTTCCATTTTGACTATTCATTGATTCGAAAGCTGGTTCATTTATACTCTGGATATACACTGAAATATAAACAAATATTTTGATTCTGCATACTTTTGGCTTTAACCATTCATCATGTATTATGTCAGTCTTTTCTTTCTGATCCTTCCAGGACAGAACATTATTTCATCCTGTGAGCAACAGCTGCATGGATTCCAACCCAGCAGAAAAGAAGATTTTCATGGCCAGATGTGACCCCCTATCTGAGACTCAGCAGTGGATTTTTGAACACATTAACATGACTGTTTTAAAAAAATTTAGCTACCATGTCAGCTCCTAGAAAGAAGAAAGAAAGAAAGAAAAAAGATAGACTATCTACAGATTATGAACTAAATGTTAGCCAGCATCTGGGTCAAAGGAGTCAGGAATAACATTTCCTAGATCCAGGAAGCCTGGTTTAATGATTTGTAAATGCCACGTCTAAGTAGGTTGTCCTGAAGAACTTCCTGCATCTGAAGAACTTGGCTAAGAACCTCACCAGCTGCTTCTGAGAACTCGAGACTAGCAGTTCCCTTGCTGGCCAAGGGTGAAGATTATTTAGAGACTTTTCAAAACAACTGCTGAGTTAATAAATCCTAGCATTTCTCAGGTCAAATCCTGCAGTAGTGAGTAGCTATGAATGGATCCTATTAATAGGGCGGGAGGGGGGTGGAAACAGAGTGCATGACTGCTCTGACAACCTGAGGATACCACAGGTTTAGAACTAGCCACGCTGAAGGGGTGAGTTGTCCTCTTTGGTGCCATTCTCTGACTAAGAATGGGTTAAGCAGGTTTAACCCTTACAAGTGCTGCAGATGATTTTAGAGTGCTCATACCTTTCTGCTTTGTTTTATTTTTAAACAAGTGTGGCATATCTATAATGACGTAAATTACATAATGAAATGGACTTCCAGTTTTCCCATTCTCTCTTTTACATTTGTCATTTTCCTTTTAGAGCAGAAGCTAGTTATTATTTATAAAACTTCATGCTTCATAAGTCAGTTGAGATTCTAATTCAGTGCCCTTGTGTGAATCCAGTTAAAAATAAAAATAAAAATAAACTATGCTATCAAGTTACTCCAAAGAAAGATTTCACAGAAGCAGCAAAACCATAGAAAGGTATAGGAAAGAGATTTCCCTAGGAAATCTATTTTTACTTTTCTATTATTTTTAGAATTTTAAAAGTCTGATGTTTGTCCCATCATTTTTATTAAGGAAGGAAATGGAGTGAAGTTGATGTAATTTGTTTAGGAAAGTCTTAAACCCAAATAAATTCACACTCCAAATGACATATGAAAATGTCTTTGTTCACTTCGATTCTATTTAACCAGTGCTGGGAATTTAGAAGTGGTTTTATTTAATTATTTGTTTGGGGATTTTTACATTTGTTTTTCTATGTTGTTGGTATTAATGATGTTATTATCTTATTTGGAATCCCTTAAGAGGTATTACCATTAATAAAGTGCTTCTGATGTCAATTTCTGTTAATGGGGCAATATTTCAGAAAAAAAAGGAATGACTGAAAACTAAATGGAGTAATCTTTAAAAGAATTGTTTACTTTTCAATAATAATGAGATGGGGGAAGAATATTTAGGTATCAAGATGCATCTCTACAGAAAAGATTCATATTTATTCTATTTTTCTAAAGCTCTTTCAGATACAAGAATGTTTTTATCTTGTTTTTATTGTTTTTCTTTGAATTTGATTTTCCTGTTAATATTGTCTTAGATATAGACTACTGAATGTTAGAACCAGAAGGACTCACAAGATCTAATCCCTTTGGGGTTTTTTTTAGTTTTTTTGCTTTTTTTTAGATAAACAACAAAAGCCCAGAGAGGCCCAACTCCTGCAGAACTGATGGGTCTTTTGATCTTAAGTCCTGCTGTGTCTCCTGCAGTGTACTGTCTCACTCTTTTGTCCAAGATAGTTCAGATTATTACTCCGATTTCACTTGAAATTTTCAGTCACCATATATAAAAATGTTGTACTTTCTTGGCAATTTCCCTCCAAATAGCTTTCATGTTTAGAAACCTTAATATATGAAACTTCTTCTTGTAAATGTTCATTATTTTGTTCTCTCCTCAAAACCTAATCAAAATGTCCAGTTAAGCTTCCCTGCTAATAGTTGAGAAAGAGTTATTTCACTATCATTACTGATTTTTTAAAGCATTCTTTTGAAGACCTGCTCTTTTTAAACTGATTGTATCTTTGGTATAGGTCAAGAGATCTTGAAGCATTCAAGATGCATAGTGGGGAAAATCAATAGTGAGAAATTAACCTCTGTGTTGAACATTTCTAAAGATTCAGTGAAGATTTATCTCAAGTGTTCAGAGAGCAATCTAGCTGGAGAATGAAATGGACTTATAAAAATAAACATGTCATTAAACAGTTGACTGCTATTTACACTTGTACCAAAGAGACAACCTGTGTTCTGCACCCTAGAAAGCTCAGATTTGTCCTGATCACTTAGGATGCTATAGTCATGGTTAGCTAACTAGGCAATATCATTTGAGAAAGCCTGAATTTTGCATCATTTTAGTGTGACATGCACCTGTCAACCAAGATAGATCTCCTATTGTCTTTGTAAGAGAATATAATATCAGAAATAATTTATTTAAATGAATGGGTGCTTGATATATTAAATCCAAAATTAAAACTACAAACAAGCAAGTAATTATTGAACGTATGTACATCTAATAACACACAAACAGAATAAAATGAGTCCTAGAAAAGCTCCTCCTAAGCAGAAGGGCACAGCATAACCTATAAGCACACTTAAGGAGGCACTTCTGTTACCATGATAGGTCTAGACTCTACTTGCTTAAAATATCACTACCCTTCTGTATAAAAGGCTATATATATGTGCATTTTTAACTGACAAAGGGGACTGCACAGTCCTCAGAAAGAGTCTCATTTCTGGAAATAACATGCTTTGAAAATTGAGGGATACAACACTCACCTATCCTTTTATCAGAATCAGAGGAAAAATATCATAAAGTAAATATGGCTATGGAGACTACTACTTCCCATAAAAAGAAATCATTTTGCCAGAGTTTTAAAAAAAAGAATTAATTTTTAAAGCCTTTTTGAGTACTTTCAGAGAAAAAGTATGCTGTAAACAATTGTGAACTAATCATGGGATGTATACATTTTCCAAGGCTGAGTACCACAATGGCAATAATAATGTACTGGCTTTTATGTCTCCTGCTATTTAGTTTAAAATATTAACATGTTCACATGACTGTTTTTAAATATCTTCATATATTAGAGCCCTCAGTAAATGATGCAAGTTCCAGGATTATTTTTTAAATTGATAACACAGAACTTTATATAATAAGTGGATAACACATAATGCAAATGAACTTACAGTCAATGAAAACATCATTAGGTCCATTTTTTTTCCACATTTCTTACAAAACATGAAATTAATACCAGCACTTGACACCATTTACTGTAGTGACAATTGTATGGTTTAAAAGAAGATAACAGTTAAGATATAAGTAAGTAAATATCTATTTGATGCTTTTTGCTTTTACATGAAAAACTTCTTTTTTCTTTTCTTTTTTTGGGGGGGGGGGGTACTGGGGATCGAACTCAGGACCTTGCAAGGCAGGCAGTGGCACCACTGAGCTAAATCCCCGGCCCAAAAAAACTTCTATTTCAATCTTTTTATATCTCCATGAGGAAACAGCAAAAAGGCATCTTTCATTAGAAAGACCAGAACTTGAGCAGGGGATTTAGCTCAGTAGTTCCGCCGCCTGCCTTGCAAACACAAGGACCCAAGTTTGATCCCCGGTACCAGAAAAAAAAAAAAAGAAAAAAGAAAAACCAGCACTATAATGTGTATGGCGGATCCTCCAAAAATCCAATGACACTTTAATTGCAAAGCCAGTTGTCTGGCAGTCATAAGAAGGCCACACCTGCCACCATGTGATATCTGGGTCCCAAAACTTCACAGATCTGAGGACTCAGAAGATGATTGATGGCAAAACTATGCCAGATCTGCATTTCACTTCCTGTCTTAAGTGTTACAGAATCTTTGCCAAGGGAAGGAATTTCCCTGGTACGCCCCTAGGGAGGAATGATAGGTTATATTTTTTTTTCAGAAATGACAACCATCCTAATAATATAACATTGTAAACATTGACTTATTCCTGGGAACTCACTTAAAATCTCTTTAGGCTTCTTACCCTGGCAGGAATATAAGGCTACTATAGACTTACATAAACAGGTGCTGGAGATATGCTGGAAGTAAGGCACATGATATAAATCAAGAGGAGGAACACCTCAAAGTGAAAATATGTTTAAATGATTCCTTGTGATTCTGGGAGTAAATATAAAAGGCAAGACATAAATTTTATCTCTGGACATGAGTGTGTGTAAAGCTCTCCATTCATCTCATCAAGTTCTACCCTTGCCGTCGTCACTCTCAGAGGACACCACTAACTGTAATTACTCTCCTCCTGTGAAAATGTGGCTGAGGACACTGACGTGTGACAAGTGGCCAGTCCTCCCTCACTGCCAACACTGGAAGATTGCTCTTTGATTTATGTCTATACCCTTTGCAGACCTGGAAGCTGTTTGCAACTCTATTTGGTAAGCTTGACATTGGCCTGAAGCTTTTATTCACAGTCACTCATCTCTGCATTTGACATACCAGACTGGTGTGTTTGGTACTGTAGCCTCTCAGCAACCACAGCTCCGGCACATTTTGTACTTCACTTCAGAGAAACTGGGAAACATTCTTCAATCCTTCCTGTGGGAAGTTGCCCCCTTCAGCTTACTGCACAATGGCTTCCTGGGGTTTGCACAATCGTTCACTCTCCAGTCTGCTCAGTGGTCAGTGCAAACAACAAACCCCAGTTCCAAATCTTCTTGGTAATGATTTTATTCTGGAATCATTCACAATGGAGTGGGGGCTGTTTGTAACTAAGCAATATATGTCCTGGTTTTCCAGGGCCAATCTTGGTGTATGCCTATTGTCCCATGCAATTATTAATAGTACCCCCTTTTTACCCTTTTGCCTTGAAAGTGTCCTGATTTGGGAAACATATTATTTTTTTATTTTTATTTTTTTGCTTCAATTCTATTATTGGTGCATTTTAGGTATACAATACTTTTACATTCATCATTGGGTGCTTGTACCTGTACATGTTGTATCTTGGTTCTTATTTTATTCCCCATTCCCTGTGCTTCTTTCACCCACTTCACCCTTCCCTATTTACAAAGACTTTGATTCCATTTTTTTCTTTTCTTACAATTTTTCCTTTCCCTTCTTTCCTTTCCCCTTCCCCTCCCACTTCCCTTACTGCTCTGGACCTTTTCTTCCTATTTCAAATTATCAGTTATTCATTTTAATCCTTATTTACCCTTTTAGTTTCTCACACCAGACAAACTATTCAGAATTTAAACATATGTGCCCTATTTATTTCACTTAAGAGTATGGCCTCAATAAGCATTCATTTAACTATAAATATCTCGAGTTTCTCCTTCTTTATGGCTGAGTAGTAGTCCATTTTATAAAAAAACCACATGTTCTTTATCCAGTCTCCAGTTGATGGGCACTTGGGCTGTTTCCAAGCCTTAGCTATTACAAACTGTGCCACTATAAACATGGGTGCACATATATCACTGTGGTATGATTCTTTTAATTCTTTTGGGAAGATCCCCAACAGGGGAATATCTGGGTCAAATGGGACCTCTAGTCCTAGTTCTTTGAGGAATCCCCATACTGATTTCCATAAAGGTTGCACCAGTCTGCACTCCCACCAACAATGGAGAAGGGTTGCTTTCTCCCCACACCCCCACCAGCATTTGTTATTTGTTGATTTCTTGATAGCAGCCATTCTTTGTGGGATGAGGTGGAATCTCAGTGTTGTTTTCATCTGCCTCTCTCAAATGACCCGTGATGTTGAACATTTTTTCATATGTTTCTTTGCTGCTTTTGCATCTTTGTCTGAGAAATGTCTGTTCATTTCAGATGCCCATTTTTGAGTTGGGTCTTTAAATTTGGGGGGTCTGATTTTTTCAGCTCTTTATATATTCTATATAGTAGTCCTTTGTCTGAGGTACACCTACTAAAATTTTTTTCCCACAGTGTAAGTTGCCTCTTAGCTCTGTTGGTGGTTTCTCTTGCATTGCAGAAGCTTTTTAATAAGATGAGATCCCAGTTGCTGATTCTTTGTGCTAGTTTGCGAGCTACTGAGGTTTTGTACATAAAAGTCTTTTCCTATGCCAATGTCTTCAAGAGTTCTACCTAACTTATCTTCCAGCAAGTTTAGTGTTTCTGTTTTAATATTTAGATCTTTATCCACTTCAATCTTAGTTTAGTACATTGTGATAGGTATGAGTCTAGTTTTAATTTTTGGCAGGTTGAAATCCAGTTTTTCCAACACCATTTATTAAATAGACTATCATTCCTCCAATGAGGGTGGTTGGTTCCT